ATGCATTCTCTACACCTAATAAACAGGCTTCCCACACCCACCTTATCACTGTTTATTCGGGTCTCCTCCTAATTATTTAAAATTAAGGAGTTTTGGGTGTTTATGTTATCCTTGGCTTAGGCCTTACACCTCCCATAAATTAGATCCGAAATCGAAACCTTATATGTTCGTTGGTTATTCAAAAACTCAAAGTGTCTACTATAGTCTAGACCCTACCACAAACCGTGTTTATGTATCTAGACATGTTCGGTTTGTCGAAACCGAATTCCCCTATTCTACTCTTCTCAAAACGGACCCTTCACCACCAATTCCAAATCCTGGCTCTTGGTGTTCAGTCCACTTGCCCATCTTAGACAACCCAGTCAAAAGACCCATGCATGATCAACCTAATTCACTTAACCAAAGCCCATAATCTCCTCCTTTACCACATGAACAACCCACTTCCCCTCTAACAACTTCTTCTCCTTTACAACAAGCCCATATGCCAAACTCCCCAAGGCCCACTAACCCCTCACCACCGCCACTTAACACATCCCAGTCTACTTATCATCCTACAAACCCACAAATTTGAGCAATCACATACGAATCCAAATCCTGGGATTGTAACAAGATACAAAAATAATATCTTCAAACCTAACCCAAAATATGCTAATACTACTACTGTAGCTTCCAAACCAGTGACTCCCAGCTCTGTTAAACAAGCTCTTAAAGATGCTCTTTGGAGAAAAGCAATGGAAGAGGAACTTGCCTCCTTACACAACCTTGGTACATGGGATTTAACTTCATCCGCTACAGTTCGCAATGTTGTGAAATAACAAAGATGGTTCCATTGAGCATTACAAAGCTCGTTTAGTATCAAAGGGGTTCCAACGTCTGGGTATTGATTATTCAGAGACATTCAGTCCCGTGGTCAAACCGGTTACCATTTTCACACTTTTAAGCTTAGCAGTCACTCAAAATTGGCATCTTTGCCAACTTGACATTAACAATGCTTTTCTACAGGGAACATTACATGAAGAAGTTTACATGTCTCAACCTCCGGGCTTTGTTAATACACAATTCCCTACTCATGTATGCAAACTCAAGAAGGCCATTTATGGTCTAAAGTAGGCTCCAAGGGCTTGGTACACTGAGCTCACAAATTTTTTTTAATTGGGAAAGGATTTAAAAGATGTGTTTCCGACACGTCACTCTTTATTCTACATCACTCTACTACCCCTATTTACCTCATTGTGTATGTTGATGATATTATTGTTACAGAACCAAACACCGCTCATCTCAATGGGTTCATTAAGCATTTTGCAAATCGTTCTCATTGAAGGACTTGGGTGCACTCTCCTATTTTCTCGGGGTAGAAGTCATGCCTACTACTCATGGCTTGCTCCTTAGTCAACGAAAGTATATCATTGATCTTCTAGACCGTATGGGTATGCTTGACACTAAGCTCGTGCCTACACCTTTGATCATTACACAACAATTGACTGCCAATTTAGGTGCTCCTTTGGAGGAACCTAATTTAAAGACTATCGCGCAGCGGTAGGAAGCCTTCAATATCTTAGTGCCAATCCAGTTTTTCACTCTAAGATGAAACATTAAGCTATTTATTACTACTTCATTTGAGAACAAGTTCAAAAAGGAGCCCTACGAGCTGTACAAGTTCCTACAGGTGATCAACTAGCTGATTTTCTCACCAAGCCGTTATCAAGACCACGATTGGATATTTTGTAACCAAGATCGGCCTTTCCAACCCTTCGTCCGACTTGCAGGGGCATATTAGAGATAATATCAAGAGGGTATCTTGATATTATCTCATTGCTACACAATTGCCGAAATAAGCTAATATGCTAAAGCATATCAATCTTTCATCATGCCTCTGACTATGCCTATCTTAGATAATTCTTCTATTATTGTATATGTAACTTCCTGATTGTACAGAATATCTTTAGTCAAAGATATGATTTTATTATCTAGTTAGTTAGCAATGTTAAACTTTAGGAGATACTTTTAGTATATAAATGTATCTTTGTGCTTTTGTAAAGTTAATGAAAATAATACAACATTGTTCATTCTTACAAATATCACCATATTTACCCCAAAACCCGACCCTAACAACTGAAACCCACCTTTAAAATCCACCCCAAAAAATCATAACACCCACCCAAAAAACGCCTCCACCCATAAATTCGACAAAAAATAAAGTGATGAGAGGACTAGAGGCGGCGGTTGAAGGGGAGAGAAAGAAAGGGATCGGCAAGGGGGTTGTTCTTCGCTAGAAGAACGGGGATTTTTTTTAAAAAATTATTTAAATTTTAAAATGAACCAACCCTGTTTGGTCACGTGATATACTTAACCTAAACAACATGTTACCACCAAAATTAACAAGTCATGACTCATTTTGGGAAGATATATATCCTATAAAAGTTGACCTATTTTTAGTTAATCAAAATATTTGCTTATTTTGAGCTAGTTGCGCAAAGGTTGGCTTATTTTTGACAATTTTTCCTAAAATAATAGTAGGTCTTATCAGAAGTGTTGTCATTCTTATGAAACGGATGAAAAGAAAAGTGTTGCAATTATTAGTTTATTACGCAACGGAGGGACAAATCTTGAAAACTAAAAAAAATTATCCAAAAAAAAGTTTTTCTCCTCTATCCCCTCTTTATAACCCTAGCCTCCATTGTTGAATAGACAACTTCAGGAGAAAAGGAGGCATTTACTTATTATAGAGATGGTGTGTTTGGAGAGGCTTAATTGGTTTATACTAGTGAATAACCCAATATTTGTTTTTGTGTGTTTTTTAATAACTTGATTTTTGTGTGTTTATGATAATTCTTCCTTTATAGAAGGAACCTTTCTCCTCCGAAAGAAAGAGAATTTTTTTTCTAGGATAATTTTTCTCCTTCAAAAGCAAGATTTTTCTTCTCTCTTTTGGGGGAGGATTTGCTATTTTATTTGATGGATTGATGTAGAATTTTTCATAGGTAAAGATTTGTGCAAGATCGAAAAAGAGATTAATCTTACGATTTCAATCAGACAAATCAAACAAAAATTGTCTTCATGGCTACAACAAGTTAATAGACCACCTTGTCTAAAAAGGATATAAATCACAACAACGATGTGAATTAGAGTATGAATAATGTACAATTTGCAACAACGATCATAACTTTGATGAAAAAAATGTTTTTATTTGATTCAATTATCATGTAAGATATAAATCTATTTGTAAATATTGTAAGACTTTTTATTTATTGAATTATTTTTTGTTAAAAAAAATTAAATAATTCATCCAAATCTAGATTCAAGATATGTCGTTTTTTATGTTGAACAAGGAATCAATATCATACGGAGTAGATTTGCTTTATGTAATTTCCACGCGGTTTCTCAAAAGTAAGGTTCCGTAAGCCATATAATTGCACTTACTAGCTTTCTTGGTCAATGGTTAATGGTCAATTGTAATTTGTAATCAATCGAAATTTCCTCGTGACTTCTACATTACTTTTTTGAAGTTAAACCTAATCATCCCTCTATATAAACCCACAAAATTGAAACTCTATCTCAACTCTCAAACAACATTGCTCTATACAAAATACTAGTAATAGTCTAGTAGAGTACTACGTAGAAAAATCCTAACTCGGTTAAGATTGGTGAGAGATTGTTAGAAATATCTACTAATGTCCCTCTTACTATAACTAGTTATAGCAAGAGGGACATTAGCACAATTTTTAACAATCTATTTTCCAATCTTGACTAAATTAGAATGTTAGCACGCTCACTCCTAGTAATTTGGAACTCACTTGCTACAATAATAGGTATTCCCTATCTCTATTTTTTCTTGAAAAGTAATGAAAGTATGAAGAACAAATAGAGACAAAAAGGGTACAAATTTTAAAAAAATTTGTATAGGAAGACCATCTGAAAGATGCAATACAATGAATACATAAGTTTAGTTCTTTGTTTAATAATTACTTTCATGTGTACCTTTACTTTTGTTAAGAAAGATTCATCTTTAAGGTACGAAGAAGTTCGATATCAATCTAAAACTTCACATAGCCTAACTCGGCCCGAATTGATGGATAAGGCTCTAGGAACAAGGGTAAGGGCATCTTCACCCCCAAGGTGCCCTTTACCATGGACTAAGCACTTGGTTCCACTATTGTTGATTAAATCGGATTTATTTTAATGTTATAAGCTGTATATAGCTAAAAATTCATCAAAATTTATCTGGAAAACCTGCCAACAAATTTTATCATGAGGCTAGGTTTAGAGTAGTGAATGATTAATGTTCTAATTACTCTATAGTCATGTTAATTTAGTAATTTATACTAATAATGCCACTACTATGTAGACTGGTATAGTATCTATGATTTTTTGCTGCTGAATCACTTGTTAAATTTGCAGGCTGTAAAAGTCTCTTAAAGGTTGATATTGTTAAAGAGTTAAGCTTCTAATTTGGAGGTATTCTCCCAAATCTGACCCTGGATATTGTTGTAAGGCTGTGGAAGTGTGAGCAACCTCAAATAATCATGTAAGGTGGTGAAATTTCTCTCATCCCATCAGTCGTAGGCCCTTTTACAAGGCCTATGTCTATTTTGTCGTCGGGAAATTATCAGAGAAAGAGACGAACTTCCAATTATAAAATAAAAAAATAATTATATAATGAGACGAACCTTCTATTATAAAATAAGAGAAATTATCAGTCTCTAATAACTTGAATCAAGGATTAGTAGTTTTCATTGGTATTAAACTGTATTATGGCATCATCTTAATATCAGAGCCTGTGAATTCCTCATAAAGAAAAACTAAATTTTAGGGAGAGGATATACGACATTTTTTTTTTTTTTTTTTTTTGGTAAAGAGGATATACAACATTTGATTGCACATACAAGGTCATAGCATACAAATCTAGTTTTGATTTGTTTTAATACACAAATTATATCTCAATAAGGTATATTAAGAGTTTAAGACTTAAGAAAAACAACTACAACTCTACAATTCAAACCTTTTTTTTTTTTTTTTTTTTTTTTTTGACAAAGACAACTCTACAATTCTTAATAAATCACAAGTGTGTAAAACCATATAAATGGAGAGAGTAACGAATGTAAAAGATGACCTAAAGTTATTACTTAATTGACCAGAAATGCTTGATTTTATTGGAGACATGGGTCCTTTGCATTGCTGCATTGATACGTCGACCTAAGTTAGTCAAAATTTAGACTTAAGTTAGATAAAGTGCACCCATAATTTCAGGTAAAATCTTGACTTCAATGTTGTATGCAATGTATTGAACAATTTTACTCACCGTACAACCTATAAACTAGGAATGGGTTTTCATAGTGATAGCAAAACGCCAACGTATCAATTATCAATGGTGTGAATTAAATCAGCGAAATTAGTACTTGTTACTAGGTTAGCTATTTTGTGAGCTATAATCAACTTCTAATTGTTAGATGTTAACTATAAATCGTTTTATAGTTCTAATAACTAAGAATTATATCTAAAAAATACTCATATTAACTAATCAAAGTTGTGTGCTTGCAAGTGTGAAAATCATTGTTGCAATTAATATTGTGTGATTTCATAAAATTTAAAAGTAATTAAGTTGCGCATATGTCTGCTAACTTAACTAGTAGCGATCATCAGAAAACAAATAGCCAATATAAGCTTTCTAAGGCAGAGGCCACACCTCAAAGATGAAGTCAATAAGAGCATTAAGGCCTAGTCTAGTTTGAAACTCTGCTCCCAGTCCTGCCTGTCTTTCCAAGAGTGTCAGCTATTTGTGTTACGCTGGCAGTGAGTCTTTCCCAGAAGCCGGGAAGACATGCTCACACAAGCTCGACTTCAGCTGCAGCTCAGTGTCTGATCAGTAGCTGCATGGTACTGGCATTTTTTACTCTCTTCAGTAGTCCTACCTGCTATGGCATGATACATCATAGCATGAAACAGGCTCATTCATTACTTGGATCGCTTTACTTCTGTGTTACATGTTCAATTTTCTTTTTACATAATGGTACAAGCTCCATGTTCAATGTACAATTTTCTTTACTTCATTGTTGCATGCTCAGGGTTGAGGATCTCAATAGTTCGAGAGCAAAAGGAGATGCAAGAAACAAGTGTTTTCTTGTATCTAAGCCTCCATTGAACTGCCAATGCCCATCTATCCATAGACTTCTTGACGTTTGAGGACATACCAGGCACGACTTCAGTTCCTCCACAGCAAAAGTTCATTGACTGGGAAAAATTGCAGAATTCCATGGAAGCTGCGGAAGACAAATTATCTGGCTTATCAAAACACTGAAGCTGTTGAGCTTTATCGATTGTACCAAGTAATGATAGGTCATCTTCTACAGTTGAGGGGAGACTTCTCAGGATCGCACGACACTTTGATATCAGCCATTTCCTCACGGCAATGTCATTTTCTGGAGAGAGCTGTGACCCAGAAAGTGCAAGGTAACCAATAGATTTCCGCTTGTTTGGAGAAATTGCCCACAATCTCAATGCAGATAACAGGGCAAATGAAGGCTTCCCATCATGTTGAATGTACAGAGAATCTGCAGGCCATGAATGGCAAGCAAACATATCATGTTCCAAAGGGATGAAAACCTTGTCATTAGGATTTCCATTCAGAATAAATCCATAATGTTCAAGAAGTTCCAAGTTTGTGTACGTCCCATAGCTTAATAAAACCTGGATAAACGAGACAAAATTGGTAAATTCTGTAATCTTAACTTCATGACAAATATCTGAGCAGAAGCAGTCGTAGATGCAAGTATGTAACCCATGTAACCAATTACGTCATCTTATAATCAAGCTGAGTATAAGCAATGAGCTCCTCTAAATATACATATATCATTTTCACTTCCAAGCACTTGAATACTTCCAATAATAATTTTATCATTTATTTTCATTGAAATATGCCAAAGCAAGCTAAACTAAACTAAACTGTCTTTTCTTCATTGTTACATAAGCGATAAGCCAACATAGTTAATTACAAACATACAGAAACATGAACTTCAATGTATAATTTGTATCAAAAGGTGATCTATTCCGAAAGGATCAAAACTGACAAGAATTATTACCTGCTCACCAATCTTGTAGTTTCTCTTGGCATATAAACAATATGAAGCTACATCTTCCTCATAGCCACCATCAATTAACCTGCCAGAACAGGCATCTATATTTTCAGTCTCCAACAGTGGGTCCTCTGTGTCATCTATATCCTGCAGAGTTCTCACTTGTAACAAAGAATCATCGAGCCAGCTCTCAGAAACTTCGGTGGAAACGAACTCCTCTCCAGGTGCAGCATAGTTGAAAAGGTCGCCCACAGGACACAAGCACCCAGCACTATCCCATGGAACGTGCAATGTGCGTGATGATATCTACCCAAGAATAGAAGGTAATATGCGGTTAAAATACTATGCAATACGCTGGGTCATGAGATTTTTTAAAGCTAGTTCTATCGTTCATATTTAAGCAAGACCCAAACAATTGAAACAAAGTAATTAAATCACTAGCTAATAAGAATCTGCAGTTGGAAGACCTAGGAAGACCAAGATTTAATCAGCATTAATGTCTACTGAGACTCCGGCTAGTACAAAGGCTGTTTTGAAAGCCAAGCAAAAGTAGAAGATGGGTAACTTAGAAATTGATAACCTGAATACAGAACAATTAAGAATTTATGGCTGCACTTTCAGTGCATCAAAGATAGTCATTGGCTCTCCCAACTCCCAAGAGGCTAAATCACTGAGAGCAAATATCAATTAATGAAACGACCAAAGCTAAAAGATTAACTGAGAAAGAAATGTAGGACACAATATACCCAAAACCCTGCTCCAAAGCTACGTCTTTTTTCCGTATCAACCTAGTTAGAACAGAAAGATGACACTACTGAAAATAATAAACCTTAAACCAGAGTATTCTTATTGAATCAAGCAATTCTTTACAAATTGGACTCCAACAATAACAATTGACTTCTTATTTCTGAAATAGCCAGCCTTCAGAACAGACATGTCCAGTTCAATGATCAAAGACTCATCACAACAGGCTAAGCAAAGTCAATAAGCGGAACAAGGCCATTAGCATATCAAAAATATATACAGATGATTTTACACACATGCACTTGAGAGGAAACATTACAAAATTCCATGCTTGGTTATCTTACTGTTGCAAAAGCCCAGAGCCAAGCCTTCAAGCTCACAAGCTGAGGCTTTAACTTTAGTTGTTCTAGCAATGCAACAGCTTCACTCCAATCTGACTCAGCCTTTGAAATAACCTTCTTTGCTAACCAAATAGCATCATCTACCTGCCAATATGATTTCTCCATTCAGCAAATAATTTTACAAAAAATGTTCAAGAAGATAATGAATATAACTTACAGAGTATAAAATTTTCAAACATTTGACAAATTATTACAGCAAGATAAGGCACGACAATGAAAATATATATGGATTGTTTGTTAGAAACTACATACAGAGTATTAAATACCACTTTTAGAAATAACTACCTTTTGAAACCTTTTTTTTTTTTTTTTACAACAAATAACCTAAAAACCAATAAAGTTAGGTAACACTACCCACAAACGGTTTATGTCAAAAGATTCCATTTGTTGGACCCTTTTTTCCCTAAAACTTTTACATTCAAAAAGATAATTATTCCTTTAATACCCTTATTTGAAAAATTAAACCCTAATTTATAAATCCTTACCCTCAATTTCACATACTCAAATCACCCAAAATTTATGAACCGTAATTCCCAAAATTTATAAACCCTGATTCTATCCCAAATTAATAAACTATAATTCGATCCCCTAATCCCCAAATTAACAAACCGTAATTCAATCCCCTAATTACCAAATTTATAAATCCTAATTCTCAAACTTGATAAACTCAAATTCTGCTAATTGATAAAACCTAATTCCCTTAAATTTTAAATCAGAGTTCACCAAACTACATTGTAATTTGTAACCCTAAGCCCCTAAAAAGATTTAAGTTTGATTCAAGAACCCTAAACCCCAAAATAAAAAAAATCCTAATTCCCCAAATTTACTAAACTCAAAATCCCCAATTATGAAAACCCGAATACCCTGAAGTAATATTTATAGCCTTAGTTAAATTTTTCTTTGAATTACCAAGAACAAGGACTAACAGTTGTAAAAAACGAGAATGAAACAAAAATATAGATTAGACAAAAATAAGAGATGTGAGGCCTACAGACGGAATTTTTAGACGGAAATCATTAGTAGGAAGTGCTACTTGAATGTTTTGGGTTTTTTGTTAAAAAAAAAAAAAAAAAAAAAAGAGTTTTAAGAGTAGTTACTCCAAAAGTAGTTGTAAACTTGTAATAGGTAGTTTCTGACACAAAAGTAAATGCCTAAAGCAAACTAGAAATGGTGATTATGCAAAACAGAAATAAAATGAATGGTGTAAATTACTAATGTCAGAAACAAACTTGCAATGCTTTTGTCTCGAACGGACCAAAACTTGCTAGAACGTCATAGCTTCTGGGAAGCAGCATTACATAAGGATACCAAGCAGACCTCCTTCCTTTGTTAACTTCAGCTAATAGACACACGGTAAGAACCTACAAACATCAACAGTAAGTACTTAATGATAATAAACAGAAGGAACGCACAAGCAAAAAGCTTAGTAATTTTAAGAATCTGTCTGCCTGGTTCCCATCATTTTTTTGATACTGCTATGTCTGCATACATGTTCTGCTTCATAACTCTACCTGAACAAAGACTCAGTTCTGGGGAACACTATTTAAAGATTGGGGCTCATACCAGCACTTTTTGCAGGTATTAGATATTTGTCTGTGCACATAGAGTTCTAGCCAGAAACTGAGATTTTCTATAACCGATAAACCACATAGAATGCTATGAAAATTTGAGACAATGAATCAAAACTTAGGTTATGCAAGATAAAAACATCTGATATTTGATAAATATTATCGTATTAGAGGGGTTTGGGTGGTCAATTTTCAGTTTCTCTAACCCTAAATAATTCTTCACTAAGATAATACCACCACAACTTACTATTCTTATTGCAAAATAAGGATTAGAGCCTATCATTTATTTTTAAAATTGCAAAGTAAGGATTAGAGTCTACCGTCTATATTTATTATTTTATACAGTAATACAAAGGTGAAACGGACCGGAGATTGAGGGGGAACAAGAGCATTTTCATGTCCTATATACACCTAAAATCTAACATGAGATCAAGGCCTAAAAGCCACAACAAAATACTAGTAAAAAAAACTATCATGGTTGTTACACTGTCATCAGCTAGAGGAGTTCACATTAGCAATCATTATGCATAGAATAATGAGAAAGATCATCATGGATCATGGAAATAGGAATGCCAGGAAATAAATTCATTATAACTAAGTGGAGAGGAAGGATGATGGATCTCAGAAGAACATATGCTCTCTTCAACATAAAAAAAAAAAATTGCCAATAATAGCACTAGCATGCCAAAACAATAGAATATATTGTGGTCAAACGGTGAAGGTATAATAACCTACAACATAGCATAACACAAGAACACACAAACCATGTCCAGAAAAGAATTGTTAGTTTAAATGGCTCCAAAGAGTTTTTATAACTCCAGAAACTTGCTTCATGACTGCCCAACCTCCAAGGTTATTTGGAGAAGCCTAGGAGGGACTGCTCACCACCCTTAATTCTGGTCTGGGAATTTGAACGAGTGGATGACTCGAAACTTGGAAGCGAATGGCCTGATTTTTTGTGAGAAATGGCCTACTGCATTTGCCACCACCTTATGGTGGATATGGAAATGGCGTAATAACACTTTATTTGGCAGAGAGGATCAAATACCTTTTGAAACAGGTAGTTTTCTTCGCTCCAAAACTGATGAAACTTGGAATCCTTTTGAGCTGGGAAAGGAATTGAACGAGCATAACTCCACTAAAAGGGAAGTCTTGGTTCATTGGCTTGCTCCTCCTTTGGGATGGGTTGTTTTAAATTCTGATGGGGCAGCAAAGGAGGTTCCTGGTCTAGCTGGTGGAGGGGGCATCTTGCGTGATGTTACTGGTAAGCATTTGCAAAATTTTGCTGCTAACTTTGGCATTTGCAAAGCATACAGAGCTGAACTGTTGGCAGCAGAACAAGGACTACGTATGGCAAAGGCTTTGGGAATTGCTAAGCTAGAGTTAAAGATGGATAATAAGGCTTGTCTTGAAGCGCTGCAGAATACAGACCACCATGGTGGAGAGTTATATCACATTCTTAATAGTTGTCGTAGTTTAATCACTTCTTTTGGTTGTAATTTTTGTTTTGTTCACTGCTTTAGGGAGGGCAACAAAGTAGCCGATTGTTTGGCTAATTTGGGGGTTGTGCTTGAAGAGGGGATAATTTATTTCGATACGCCTCCGATCGAAATAAAGAATCTTCTCATGGAGGATAGCCTTGGGGTAAACACCCCCCGATTTGTGGTGTAATTGCTGTTTGTTGTTTAATAAAAGGGACTTATCCCACCTTTGCATCAAAACAGAAACTGCAAATGAACACCTAACTCCCCCTAACCAGATTTTTGCTTGTCCCTAAAAAAAAAAAAAAAAAATAGTGACAAGATTCACTCAAGTCAAAAATCAGTTTGAAAAAAGTTAAACTCAAGAAGTCAAGATCAAATCCAAACAAATACATAACAATATTGACCAATCAACTCCTTCTAACCACTAATAACCAGCAATCAAGCATAGACAAGTAATCAACTATAGAATAGCTCGCATAGGTGACTCTCAAATCTTATTTTGGCAAGTATGTACTCATACCCTATCCACACAGCCAAAGTGCAATAATAATAATAATCCTTCACAGCTCACGTCACTCGTATATCAAGGGTATCCAAATGCAACACATACTCTCTAACCTAGCCGGAAGATCCACTTAACCACAATGCATGCCCGAAGTTTGGCATATAATTCTCTTCACCTTTAATCAAAATACACCTCCCTAGGAGTGTAAAGGGGTTGAACACTTGAACATGTATGCAAACAAACGGTCTTTTCATCCAATTATTAATTAGTCATGCTTAACTAAATAAGCATGTACTAATCTAATATATCAACTCTATTTGATAAATTCTATTTATCAAAAGAAACCCTAAAGTGCAAACAATTACTTAATGAGCTAGGTCCTTCAATTTTCCATGAAATTTAACACTTACATCAGCTAAACTTGTTGACCTCGATTAGTTTTGGTGAAGACGAGCAAACTTATTTTAATAAAGGTTTGGGAAGCAAATAGACTACGCATCAATCTTGAAAACTTCTTCAAAGACAACTTCTTCAAGGCGTAGTAGAACAGTGTCTGGGTAACTTTCTGCCTATGGGCTTCAGTCACCATTTGAAGCCAGGTAACAGAGCCTTTGAGTGACACATGTTTAGTGTTCATATGATAATGTTTTACCCATCACAATCTGCATGATGTTAACCAAAGACAGCATCCTCGTTTCGAAACCATGAGTGGCTGCTCTTCCAACAGAACCAAACCCAGGTGTTCCATAAGAAGATGGGACCCCAAAAGGAGCGCCACTGCCAACAGAACCAAATGTCAGTGTGTTCCCAAGAGGAACTTGAGATACTACATGTTGTCATACACTCTTCTGTTCTTCCTTTTCAATCTCTTCCATCTTAGTTTCATCAAGTGACAGCTCTCCCTCGTCCTCACTGATATCAACAAACAAAGGAGGCTTAATTACTTTGGGTGTGAGCATAGCCATCCTCATGCTCCTCCACAGACTTAATCACTTTGGGTTTCCCAATAAATCTCTTCATCTATTCTTTAACCCCCTGTTTTTCATCGATTTTCTTGTTCTCACTATCGTCCTCTTCACTCTCTACTTCAGAATTCTCTTTCTCTTCAACAATTTTTCCAATTTCATTCAAGATAAAGTTAGTCTTCCCATCATTCACCGCAAGACTAAGATTGGACATGGTTATTGTTTGCAAGATGTGCTTGGCTTTCATGCCAAGAGAATCAAACACTAATCAACATGAGAACTTTCAAACAAGGTTGTTAACGTGGTTCCATAACCAATCATATTTTTGTAGAATGTATCAAATAGAGTTGATAAATTGGATTCGTACATTGTTATTTATTTAAGCATTTACTATTAAGACTTGGATGAAAAGACTCTAGTTTGCATATATGTGAAACCCTTTACACTCCTTGTGATTAAGGGTAAAAAGGATTATGTGCCAAACATCCTCTTTGATTTCTGAATTGTAATTCAGGTGAAGGGTTGAGTGGTCTTTTGTAACGGAGTAGTTGCCCTATATAGTGAAGTCGAGTCATAAAATCCAAGTGGTCGTGATTTTTCTTCTTGTTAGGCACGAGATGCTTCCACGCAAAAGTCTCCATGCATCTCTTTATTTCGTTCCTTTACTAAGTTTCAATAACCGCAAATTTTTGTAACACTACTTCCTACTCAATTCAACCCCAACCCCAAAATAAAGAAGCGGAAAAGCAAACCTGAGTAGAGGAAAGAGACTGATAGCATTTGATAGCATGAGCAAGTCTATGATCTTTCTCAAGTAAACTCTCACTTGTCATCAATGCTGATTTAGGTGCTCTAAAAATCAATTCCCCTTTCTTAAGATTTCGAACAGCAGCCAAACCTCTCCTACAATTCATAATTCAAACAATTAAACAAAAAATTCAAATACCCATCTCCAAAATCATGGAAAAAAGAAGGGTATGAAGAAGAAGAAGAAGTACCCTCCAGCTTCAGGGAAATCAGTAATGGTGAGAGAATGACCCAAACACGAAGAAGAAGAAATTGAATGATGGGGTGTGTCTGAAATACCAAGTTGTGCTGCCCATTTTAGAAAGCTTGTCAAATTTGATTGATGCCGCTCTTCCATGGTGCTGTGTTCGTCTATTTGCTCCGCAGTGGTGCGGGGATTCGGTGGAGAAGGCGACGGCATGGTAGAGTTGTACGAGTGTATAATTGTTATGGCGAGCAGTTTTGCATTTGTGTATTAGCCTAGATTAAGTCTCGTGCCATACACGGTTATTATTAAATTATACAACAAATAAATTATAAATAATGGTGTTAATTAAACAATAATTAATCTAAAATAATTATTTTTAATAAAATAACTTAAATTTTAGTTTATACCAATACCGAATACGTAAAGGTCATTGAATTGGATTGTATAAAATAAATATATAATAATAGAAATTTAGAAGCTATAAGGTTTTATATAAGAAAATTAAAATATTAGCTTACATTAGTACCCATATAACAACTCATATACATTTATCCTTAAATTGTTGACACACTCTGACCGGCATAATATGAAAATTTAGTTGATTTTATTTTACTTTAGAATAATTAGTATTTCGTAATCAATTTTTTAAATATGTTTTTAGAGTGAGTAGTAGGGGTTATTATTTTTTAAATAATCACATAAATATTTAGAGTAATTAGATTAAATTTTTCAATATATGTTATGTATACTATAACAAATGATTTTGTTCTTATAAACGTTATGTAATTTTAAGATTTATACAAAGTATGCTACCAAAATAATTTTTCTTTCTTAATTAAATAAATTTTATTGCCAAATGATAAAAGTTGGAGAAAAAAATTGATATTGATGATATTATAATAATCTTGGAAAATAATATATTACAATACCTTACTTTTAATCTATGTTAGTATTTTTGTAACTAAAAATTTCATAGTATATAAAATATATGTAAAAAAAAAATTGAGTATAATTGAATTAAATATATTGTCAAAATGAAAATAACTATTACTGTAGGTTATAAAATAAATGTCATTAAAATATGGCAAAAAAAAAAAGAAGGGGCGAGAAAATTTTTAACCACGAAATGACAAGTGTCATTCCAGGTTTGGCCTTTAGTATATAGCAAGGTTAAAATCCCGTGCAATGCACATTTATTATATATTTTTGACAATAATATTACAAAGTATAAAGTATATAAAAGATATTCAGAAATATTTCATTTGGGTATATATGGAATATGATTGTTAAATGGGAAAGAAAATATCACAAGGTATAAATAGTTTACTTAAAAATTTTGCAAAAAAAAAAAAAAAAAAATGTGAAGTGAAAAAGGCAGGAAAATTTTTCACAAGCTAATGACAAGTGTCATGGAAGGATTTACTTTTAGTATAGGTTAATAGATTGCCCCTCATTTGCAAACCATAATTTGGTTTGAGTGATAATACTCCGAAAAACAGTTGAAATTTTGGTATCTTATTTGTAATTCGTAAACATCGAATATTGGATACTGATTCGGATATCAACTTTTGGATTTTTAAATTTTGGATTTTGAATAACAAATACGCTACCTTGGTGCAATAGACGTCAAGTAGTCCTCCTACCACTTTCTCAAACAAATAGTGATAAACTACTCCTATAAACAAGAGAAGAGTTTGGTATTTTTTCAATTTGAGACTTTTCCTTCCTTTTCATTCTCTCTTTTCTTTGCGTTTTCGCTAACTAGAACTTCCAACAAAATATACTTGTGTAAATTATTAGTTTTAGAAAGCAATGAGTCTATGTATTATAAAGATATTTTATATGTGTTGAAATAAAGAGAGTAAAAGTCATTGTCAAAAAAATAAAAAAATAAAATAAAAAAGAGTAAAAGTCATGTTTCTTGGTTGGTTTGTGATTTTTCTAGAGTTTGATCAGTTTACTCCACAAGTAGGTTGTGGCCTACCACGTTTGCTCACATATAGAGGTGGGCACCGTACCGTGCCAGGCTACCGCGGGTCGTGCCTGGTGGTGGCTCGTGCCGTGTCGGGCCACCATTTGGCACACCCCAACCCACGGCACGGCCCACGTGCCTGGCGTGCAGTGCTGTGCCGGGCTGCGGGCCGCCCCGAGTTTATTTTATTTTATTTTATTTTTTTAAATTGATATATATTTTTTTGAACAACTTTTAAAATGAGTATATTTAAATAATTTTATTAATTTATGTTTATGTTTTTGTATTATTATATTATTATTGTTCTTTTTATTATTATAGTTCTTTTACTCTTTATTATTTATGTTATTTTTATTGTTAATTTATTTTAATTAATTTTATTTTTTTTATTATTATACATATATATTATTATTTAGCAAAAAGCAATAATGCATATAATTAAAAAATTTACGAGTGCAATAACACAAAAATTGATGAATAACTTATTTAATTTTATTATGCCGGTACGATAAATCGATAATACAATAATTTATAATGATAAAAATCGTATAATAATTGATGAATAGCTTAGCTTTATAGCTTATTTTATTATACGGGGTTCAATAATACAAAAATTGGCTATAATTAATAGTATGTAATAATCTAATTATTCTTCTTGTTCTTCTTCGTCTTCTTCATCTTCTTGTTCAAGTTCATCGGCCAATTGAATTGATTGAGAACTAGTAGAACCCGACGTTCTTTCATCGTCATCGTTTTCTGCATAAGTACGATCTTAGCAACGAGTTTCAGCATCCAACCAATCCTTGAAACAAACACACATTTCAAGTGTTTCGGGTTTTAGTCTTGTTCTTCTATCATTTAAAACCCTTCCTGACGCACTAAAAGCTCTTTCGGAGGCAACGGAGGAGACTTGAATAGCAAAAATATCACGAGTCATTGCCACCAAAATTGGATGTTTCGTGCTTTGTGCTTTCCACCAATCAAGGATGTCGTGGTCGTACTTCACTTCGTCATCCATGCCTTTCATGAAGTCGTAACTTAAGTACATTTGCAACTCCGAAACATCACTTTGTGTTCTCCTAGATGATGATTCACTACCTGAAAACTTAGACATCATGTTAGCGGCTTGTGCAAATAAACCTTTGGCCCTTTTACTTACATTTTTGGATGATTGAGAAGGAGCAAATTGAGTCACGGTTCCATATTTAGATTCATAAACTCTATATAAGGCAAAAAATTGATTGGTCACATTAGTTTTATAAGATTCAACATCATCTTCAAAATTCATGCATTGAAAATAAATATCAATTAATAAAAATGTGCCATCATACTTTTGTCTTGGATCTAATATAGAAGCAAAAATATAAATCATAGGAATAGTAGTGTAATATTTACATCATTTTTCCTCCATTGATGGAAGATATCCATCATAATCGTATTGTAATCAGTGTTCGTCGAAAAGTTGTGCAAGTAAGCATGCATTGCTAAGAAAAGAATGAGCACAAGGATTATAAACAGAAGAAAAACAATGTGTCATACTATATAATAATTGTTAAAACTGCATATATTTTTCACAATTAGACCAATCATCATCTAGTAAAGCAAATTGTGGAATTTGTTTTTATAAAAAACTGTTAATGGAGCCTTGTACTCGATTGCCCTACTCAACATTTCATAGGTGGAGTTCCACCTAGTTGCACAATCCGTTGATATTTTAATAGCCTTTATCCTTTGTTGCCTGCAAAAAGCTTTTCATTCCTGAAATCTCATGTCAGAGTTGTTAATAGACATAATAGCATTTCTAATTTTGTGATAAAATGGACCAATTGCTTGTATTCCATCCTTCACACACAAGTTAAGAACATGACAAATGCATCTATTATGAAGTGCATCTCCATCTAATATTAAATGATGAGCAATATTAAGACCGATGTGGGGGTATTCAAGCATTTTAAAATGGATAATGCGTTTTTGAAATAACCAATCAGTATCCAACCAATGACAAGTCACACACAAATAGTGATATGCGTAACCACTATCTCATGTATCAACTGATTAGGGAATTTTTCCCCGCCACGTGGTCCAATGAAGCCCTACCACGTGTCATCCACGTGGACCAACCGAAGCCCGCCACATGTCACCTCATGAGAGGTCCAAGGTGGACCAATCAGGTCACGACACGTGGCAGGCAGAATTGCCAACTAGGAAAGTGGCCTTCTATGGCCTAAATTCCTAGGCAAGGCCCAGTCAGCCCTAGGTTTACTGAAAACCTAGTATTGGGCACGTTTTCTAACACCCTATAAAAGGGAGATGTTTCCCTCTGAGGAACATCTATTCAGAAACATTTAATTCACATTAACTCACAATCAGAGAAAGTCAGACACTTGACACCTTGAACTGAGCAATTACACATTACAGATACTCTCTTGGAATCCGAGAGAGACTTTTTACTTTCCGCACTTTACTCCTCATACACGTTTCGAACTTGATCGTCGGAGGCGGAACTCCCACCCACTGGAGTCTCCGCTGTTTTGCAGGTACAGGCGTTCAGAAGTCAGTCTTGGAATTGTAGCTCTCCCGAAAGACATCAAAAAACCCCGAAACATTTGGTGTCGTCTGTGGGGAAAGTACTTCAAAGATGACTTCACAAGAACTTGTACCACCTCTTAATGAGAAACGGCCTATGGCCAATGTCCAGGTCTACTCAGACCAAGATACTGATGACGACTATGAAGTCGCCACCCACACGGCCCCTGACGGGTCTCTCAAGACACGGTGCATTCGTCCCACCGAAAGGAGGGAACGGAACACTGACCAGGCAATCCCCAGTAAAACAGTCGGCCAGCCGGCAGGTCAGCTCCAGGCGGCCGAAGGATCCACCCCCATCACTAAAAACGAGCTCATGACCCTCATGACAAGTTTCAAAGGGGAGATATAGGATCTTATGGAAAAGCGGACGACTGTTCCCGCCAAGGAACAATCGGCCAAAAAGCCCTCTCATTCTGGAAGGAATAAGCCGGTCAAAGATCGAGAGGCCACCCCTTACCCTAAACCGAGGGAGGTACAGAAGCCCTTGCTAAACTTGGTCGGACTGCGATTTCATGAGCCAGGAAAGAGGAAGGCCATCCGGCATGTACATCAAGATGGTTCTAAGAAAACATATTCCGATGCTCAGATGATAATCTAGTAAAAGAAGAATATGCAACAGTCAGAGTCAGCCTCCACGCCGAACTTCAATGACAGCTTTCAAGATGTCTTAATGAGGTATTCTCAATCAAACCAAGAGAACTAGACAA